CTGACGGTTTGCAGACGATGATTGCGTTTTTGATTGTGGGTTCGCAGTCCGGACTTTGACGTAGAAGTGCCCATATAAGTGTGATGCATTGCACCTTTCCACCTGAATTCCCCTGAAAAGTGTAAGAAAAAAAAAGGTTTTCGTCTCAAAAATCAGAATATTAATCCAAAATTCACTTACCTTAACTGCTAGGACGCAACCATTGTGATTTTCATTTTTTGTTCCGGTCACATATTCGTACATGAATCGGACATCTTCACGTTGGTATGGCAATAAAGCGTTGGTAAGCACTGGATCGATGACCACGTGAAAATTATCTTGCTGCGTGGATGTGTACAATTTGAAAGCGTTTGGTGCTGGTTCAATGATTCGAGTGTAGTATTCTTTGGGATTGCACCAAAGTGTGTTGTTTTTTGTTTGTGGGAGAATAAAATGTGGCCATCGAGGAGATTTCCGTGAAATGGCAGTTGATGAACATTCATGTTGTTTTAGATCGGCGCCTTCATTGAGCTTTGCTTTTTTTACTGGAGGACTACTTTCTTCGGCATTTCCTTGTTGGATGCCGGCTGAGTAGGTGCGATCGGCTGTTGGGCTGGTGGTGTGGCTGATGGTGAGGTCGCAACTTTAAGTTGGCCAGATTCCGACCGAGTAGGTGCGATCAGCCGTTGTTCCGATGATGTGATCGCATTTTTCGTGGCGATGACAGCAATAAAAAATCCGGACGGTCAGGATCTAAATTGAGGTCGGCTGGTTTTGGTAATGCTGTTGGCCATGGGTCGGTTGAGTTCAGTGGCATGACGAAGAAATGTTCGAAAGTTTCTGTTTTGATTTCGCCGATTCGTTTGGCATCGTTCAAATTTTTCAGGGTGTTTGAATAACTTGATATATGATTATCCGAATCGAGTGGCACGAATTGAACGAATACTATTTCGCTTTCGAATATAGCCTGTGCACTTTCTATTGTGGACCAAGCTGCTGCTGGGGTGAGAGAGGGTTGGATGGTGAGTTCTTTTGCTAAAAAGTTGGAATCGGTCAATTTTGTTGTGGCACTTATTGGGTTCAACGTGGCTTCGAATGTTGTTCCAGTCCGTGTTTTGATTGTTCCGTCTCAAACGATTTTTTGTTTGTGCTTTCGGTTCTTTTTTCCACTTTTTGAGTTGCTTTGAGATGCCGAACGGTGTCGCTCCACTTTTTTTCCTTTTTTGCGATGTTTTTTTTCTTTTTCTCGGTGGATTTTGATGTGGGATCGGTCAAATCGTCGATTAATTGGGATGGTGTCGAGACGACTTCTTCTATGTGGTCTGTTCGGAGCTCATTCATATCACATGTCAGATCCAATACATCGGCGTCGTAGTTGTTGTCGGGATTTAGGTGCAACATTCTCATTTCATTGTCGATTATGTCAGCCGGGTCAGCCGGGTCAGATATTTCATCGGGGAGCATTTCTGGTGCTGGGAAGTTATTGACAGTTAGAACGTGATTTGTGCCGCCGATTGTCTCTCCACACTCTGGACACTTGCTTTCTACCATTGTGCCACCGCATTCGCCGATGGAATAGATGTGGCCCATTCTGCACTTGTACAAGTGGCCACGCCCGAATCCCGTTGCCTTCAAAATCATCTTTTTTTCACTCAGGTTGATACCAATTTCTGCATCCGGATACTTTCTGTGGCCATTCCATATGTGTTGGCAATTGAGAAAGCTCGTTCCAGTGATTTGATTCCATTATCGTTGAATGATTGGGCACTTGCTTTGATGATTGCTTTGTTCATAAAATGCAAAAACTATATTTCGGCCGAGATGTCGGCACGTTGTTGGGCTGTGTTTTTGAATGTTTCGATGGATGATATTACTGCTATCAGACGATTGGTAAACGGGTTGATTATTTTATCGACATTCAGACGATGGGCTTGTGATCTGCCCTTGAATGCCGTATAGATTTCAGCGACAGTCTTTATCAATACAAGTTTATTGTTGAGTACATTCAACGTCTGACTTGATTTTGGTGCTTCGTTGTTTGACAATTTCATTTCGTTGAATAAATGCTTGGCGATTTGTTTGATGGATGGAGTACAACATTTGAATAGAGCACTATTCCAAGTCTTCTCAGCTCTTGTGTTCAAATCCAGTTGGATTGCTCTGTTCACCTCTGGATCGCCATGTTTTATTCTTGATAGTTTCAATATCTTCCAGGCTGGTTTGAATCAGAGTGTTCAGCGGTTTTGTGCGGCATATGGTCATTTTGCATCATGGACAGGTCTTGAATTGAATGCTTTTTTTATCTAACTTATTCTGCGCTACATAACTGAACAATGCTTTAGCTTCAATTATGTGGCCACAATATACCAATCTAATGAAACGAGAGCCTTCGATTTGTTCTTCTCATACATTTCATCTTTGTCGCAATTTGTACAAATTGGCGATTCACCACAAAATGCTACCGAGGGACGTTGACATTTTTCACATATTTTGCAATTTGGTTGTTCGCATAGTTTGCGGTCACATGGCTCGTGGCAATGATCACAACGCCAGTTACACTTTTCCATACACTGAAAAGAAAAAAAAACAAAAAAATTATAACGGTTGATTAATCATTTTTTAACTACTGAAGAAAAAAATTTAATAACCGGTCGACATGGTGCTCCACAAGGGCGATTGCATTTGTTATGTGAGCAACGGTTTTGACAAATTTGTTTGCATGGAGTGCATTCAAATGAACAGTTATCTCTTGTCAACTAAAAAAGAGAATTAAGATGAAAAAATGTTATTGAATCTATTCATATGTACATGTATAATATTTTACCTTATGTGTAGTCGACCGAGTTTGCATTCACTGCAGGATGACCACATTTCAATACTTTGGAGCAAGGTTTTTTGCGTGCTCTTCGTAGTTTTTCGCTGTCGTCCTTTTCACCGCATTTGATGGAGACAAAGTGACCGCATGCTGATTTTGTTTGGGTTATTGCAGGACATGGTGTTTTGGCACAATTTTGATGGCACTGAAGTGTACATTTATGCTGACATCCGAGGAATTTGGTGCATGGACCTGCGGCACGTGGCTGACGATGGGTCCGTATATCAAGCAACTTTTATCAAATGTTGGCATTCTTTTCGAATTTTTTCGACCTGGACGGAACATCTTCCACACTCGACGTCGTCATAGTGGCAGAGTTTTGGGAATTTGTGAATACAATTTTTCAACTGTTTGCCGCACGGTTTAGAACAATGGGAAAATGTTGATGTATGTTCTTTGTCGATAATATGACAGTTCTTTTCGCATGTATGGACGCAATTCATTCGTTCGTTGCAGGCTTTATCGCAGCCGCCATCTCGGATTGATTCGAAACATTCTCGAGAATGAACCGCTTTCACCTCTTCGCGATGGTTTTGGCAGTATGAGTTCAGTTCTGGGCCAATTGCCTCTTCTTTCTCCAAGTGTTCGAGTAAACTTTCCCAAAATTTATCGTTGTTACTAGCTATACAACTGAAGTTGCCGATGCAGTGGAGACCTTTGCGAGCACGCGACAAAGCAACATTGATTCGGCGCGTATCGGTCAGAAGTCCGATTTTTCCTCTTTCGTTGCTTCGTACAAACGACATCAAAATTATCAACAGCGGCCCGGACAACGTTCAGCAAAGTGTGGGTAAGTGTGTTTTGTAACCCTGTAGGATGATGTGTAGGCACAGTGCAACGATGAATTCAGCTTCATGCGTGTTGAAGTGGGTGAGACTATCCTGCAAGAAGCTCTCGTCTTCAGTGTGTTGTATGAAAAACATGTTTGTGGAAATGCCGCGTATATCCTCGAACTTTTCGACGGATGGATGATTTCGCAAGTCTTCGTAGATGCGTGGCACTAACAATTTTGAAATGCACGGCCGCATTCGGTGCCGTTGTATGAACCGATAGCACTTCAATTGGTTTATGAACATTCTTTCGAATAACGATGTTTCCAAATTGAATTTCTTTGCTAATTCGTACACTGCTGGTTTTGGTCTTAGCTGTTTGTGATCACCGATCAGAATCAAGTGATTTGTTTCTGAACAGTGCAGTGACAATGTGTGCCTCGAATACTTCGGCGGCTTCTTCGACGATTGCTATCTTTGGATGTGTATTATCGTAAATGTAGCGATATTTTGCCGCTCCAGTTGTGGTCATACCGATGATTCGTGCTTTTTTGGTGATTTCAATATCTTCTTGTTTTTGCTGCTCGTTGTATGTAGCTTGTTCGTTGTTGTATTCCACACGTTTGATTTTGATTTTTTTCTTCAAGTCGATTTATGTATAGGTTGACCCATAGTCGGTACAAGTTCCATCGTTCGTTGCGTTCAAGTTCGTCGAGGTTTGCAATGTTTGCAGCTTCACCAATTCCCATTGTTTGTGGTTTCTTGATCTCTTGTTCGATTGTCTTTTGCGTTACGTATTTGTTGTCTTGGATTGAGATAAGTAATTTCATACATATAGTGTTATCTTTTGGCAGCATTATTTCTTCTATGAAATTGAATTCGTTGTCTTCGCATCTTGACTGTGCCAGTTCGATTACTTCTTCTTCGTCATCTTCGTTTATTAGATCATCATCGTCTATCTCCATTGTTTCAGGATTATTTTCATTGTTCATGTCACTTTCGTTGACCAATGAGTAGCCGAGCCAGTATAATATTGTTTCTTGTAGACTCAAACCGTGTGTGTTAGCTGTCATTATCAATTTGAAATAGTGCGTTGGACTTATTCTTTCGATGTCTTCTTTGAGCTCGTTGCCAAGCACGTCTTGGGTCACACACCTTATATCGTTTTCAAGTTGAGTTATCTGGTTTTGGATGGAATTCATTCTGGTTCTACTGTTTTTGCGGAGACCTTGATGGAATTTTGAAGATATTTTTTGTTTGATCTTAATTTAATTAGATTGCGATCAGCCAATTTTTCGGATTTAGATTTGCCGCCGATACGAATCAGATGTTCTTGTTCGCAGAATCCCAAAATCCCTTCGAGGAATTGATCCAATGCGTGATTCGTGTAGCAAATGACCAGTATGGAAAATTGCGTTTGGTTGTCCAACAGAGCTTGGATAATGCGCAAGCCGATGTGCGTTCCCGGTGGACCTGGGATAATGGTTATTTGCTTTGTTAGTGCTGCACGAAATGCATCAAGTTGCCATTTATCCAAGTTTAAAGCTTCTGGCCATGGCCAACTATTTTCATTGAGCAATTGGATCGATTGTGTTTCATAATTGGGATCGGTTTTGTCCAAACCATTCGAAATTTGGTATTTTGTGTTTTCGGATAGATATGGTGGAGGTGAGATGTCTGAATCGACATTGACAATATATATTTCGAGCGGAAAATTTTGAGCGTTGAAATCTTGTAAAACTTTCAAATTGTGCCGGTGGGCTTCGAAGTATACTGTTATGAGTGGAGAGTGTAGCATGCGGCCACACTAGCACTCTCCGCTCATAGGCCTCTCACGCACACAGAGACAGAGTCTCACGGACAGTACAGCACTCTCATATACACAGCCACTGACAGACAGCGGTAGCAGCAACGAAACATTATACATTATTCTCTTTTCTGATTCCTATTCGAACAGTCAAATAAAGCGATTCACACCCAAGCTAACTGAGTCTTTCCATTCACTTATATATAGATATTATTCTGTGCTCCGAATATGGTCCTTCGACAGATTTAAAAAAGAACAGTGCTCTGAATAAAAACGTGAATTTTGGTTAAAGTGAAATTCAAATTTTTCTTTTCATTAAAATGGTGAAAGAATCGATCGAAATCACATTGGAAAAGCGTGCATTTTATGCCGAATCGATAAAAAGAGCCATTAAAGCGTTTGATGAAGATGCACAAAAATCGACGCTGTCGGCTGGTGAAATATTGGAAAGAATGGATGCATTGAAGATGAATTATGACAAATTTGAAGCAAAGCATATGCACGTTCGTTTGGAAAAAGCAAATAACGATGTGTTACAGAGAGAATATGAAGCGATTGAATTGTCGGTGATGCGTATGAAAGGCAAAATGCGCACATTAATTGACGAATCGAAGGCAAGCGAGCCAGCTTCAAGTGTCGTAGAAAATCAAGCGTCCGAAAAAAGTCTCGAGTTGATACCGACTCCATCACCAGTTAAAATTGAATTTCCTGACAAATTCACAGG